CCATTTCCATGTCCAGATTTTCATTTGGTTCTTTAAAAATAATTTCTGTCCCTTTACTGATATTATTTGCTGAGACACTGCCATTATACCCTCATTGTTTAGATACTGTCTCCCTTAGTTCTTTGAACATATTTTAATGGCTGCTTTGAAGTGTTTGTCTGCTAAATTCAACATCTGGGTCTCTTCAAGAGCAGTTTTTATTGCCTGCTTTTCTTCCTATGTTCAGGTTATACTTTCCTGTTTCTTTGCATGTTTCATAAGTTTTGTTGATAACGGGACACTTTAGATAATATGTCATAGCAATTGTGGACTCTGATTCCTCCCTCCCACAGGGATTTCCATTGTTGCTGTTTGCCTGGTTTTTAATTTGGTAACTTGGTAGAACTGACTCCAAAAATTCTATCCCTTCAGTATAAAACCTCTGATATCCTTGATTTTATTCTTTAAAAAATACATTTATTTATTTCTATGTGGTGCTGAGGATCGAACCCAGCACCTCATATATGCTAGGCAAGTGCTCTACCACTGAGCCCCAGCCCCAGCACCTTGGTTTTATTCTTTTATCTGGAAATCTAGGGTTCATCCCTGGTCCTGCATAGGCTACTTATTGATCAAATGCTGTGTTTTTGTCCCCTTAACCAGTTAGATTTTTTACCCTTTGCTATTGAATATGTGTGTGACTTGGAAGCTGCTATCAAAGTTCAATGAGTTCATGTTTCTGCACCACATTCACACAGATCCTTGTTCAGTCACACCTGAGAGAATATCACCTTGAGCATATATAGTCTTTCAGGTTACCAGGGATGTATGTGATTTTATTTTTAAGCTTGGCTTCCTAGAAGTTGCCTCTGGGTCAGAGTTATTATTTTAATCATTGGTTGGTCCCAGGTAGTACTTAAGCCCCTATGCCAGTGAGGTTGTTTGATCTGTACACAGCTTGGGGACTAGTTTCAAGTCCACCTTATGTCCTGCTCTGATTGCTATCTTAGGGGATGCCAACTTGTGCTTATGAACAGCTTTCCTGACATATAGGATTGACTATGATCCCAGGAGAGCTCTTCTTGACTATCTTTCCCTGATTTTCTGTTACCTATTTTCTGATTATTTGGCTACTTTTTGGTTTTAATTTGTATCATGGTCTTATGTGTGCCTACTTAATTGTTCTGAACCATGGTTTTTCAGTTTTGACAATGCCCTTAGGCACTGTCATAAAATTACAAAGTCAAATCCTTCAGGTAGAATTGTGGAGTTCATCCTGAAGGCCTGTCTCTCTTTAAGCAGAACCCCTGCAACACTATATAAAAGCTTGAGGCAGGCAGTGGCTTTTCCAGAGTGAAATTCCTTCTTTATGAATGGGCATTGGGTGGTGTTTTTGCTAGCTCTTAACAGTATGAACCTCTGATCAAAGAGCAAGCTTGTGCTTGAGCTGTGAGGGGCCTAATATTATCATCCTTTTGTTCCCCTGTGACTGTCTCCACCCTACCAATGGGGGCTGCGTGAGGAAGAAAAAGCTGAGTGGGAAAAGAAAGGTTAGTACTTCTGGGTCTACTTGTAATAGAGATTTTATAATACAGAACTGAGGAAGATGAAAAAAGTAAGAGGCCTCCCCTCCCAGTTTAAACCATAGATTTAAACAGGGAGCTAAGGGAAGAGGGAGTCCCCATCTTTTATATCACACCCACCTGAATTAAAGCTCCCTTGAGTAGTTTCCATAAAGCTGGACTTGAAGGGGTTGGGGATGGGAGCAGGTCGTGGTTCAAATGCCATTGAATCTTGCTGTTCTTCCTGAGATTTAGTAGATTTTCTTGATTTAACATTTCTCTATTTGCTGTGTACCCCTGAACAATTTCCAGGAACTCTGAATTTTTGAAATAATTTTTACAAGTTAAAAAACTATTTGTTGGTGAGAGGATTCATTGTGCTCCTTACATCTCCATTCTAGAAGTTGTTCTCCCAGATTATATTTTATATGGCCTTTGAATCTTATTCATTTGACAAATTGTTCTTCTATTTATTTTTATGCCTTGTTATTTTTTCAAATATTTCTTTAAACATATTAGAATGCCTTTCCTCCTCTCCCTCCACCATTAATTGCAGTATAACTGAGATACTTTTTGGTTATCCTTTAAAAATAAGAGCTAAATTTTGGTTATCCTTTAAAAATATAAACTAAATTAGCTTTTGACATAGTTTACCCAAAATAACTACATAAGTTACAGCCATTAATTCTTTTTTTTTAAAGAGAGAGTGAGAGAGGAGAGAGAGAGAGAGAATTTTTAATATTTATTTTTTAGTTATCGGCGGACACAACATCTTTGTTGGTATGTGGTGCTGAGGATCGAACCCGGGCCGCACGCACGCCAGACGAGCGCGCTACCGCCTGAGCCACATTCCCAGCCTGCCATTAATTCTTATCCTATATATAAATGTAGGGACAAAAACTATTTTAGACATTAGTTTGTACCACTCATAATGAAACTAGCATGTATTAGGAATATTTACATATAAAACTTACTACTCTAAGCTCCTTCATCTTGGATCCCATCATTATCCTAGAACAATTCCTTTCATATAGATAACACTCAAATATATGAAGAATGAATAAACAGGAAGGGATTACTTCTTTTAACAGAAATAAACTGTCATCCACCAAAAGATTATGCTGGCTGGCATACTAGCTGAACCTATTCCTTATTGCAGATCCTCTCCTTCTTTTGTTAGATTTTTGAGACTCATGAAGTTATTTGCAATTATACCTCTAGAGACCCTACTAACATATCCCATTACAACTTCTTAAAGCTCTCTTGGACAGTGTAGGCTTTATTTTTATCTAGAGTGAGTAAGCTAAACTACATGACTCAAGAACTCATCAATTTTAGGTTTTGATAACAAAGATGACCTTTGTAACTCTTGATTAAATCTACTATCCCCTGGACACTGTTATATCAGAAACCCTGTGTATTTTATTAAACTTGTGAGAGCTTCCATTTCCCCCCTAAAATGGCAGACTCTCCCTCAATTTTTTGAGACAGTGTCTCCCTATATTGTCTAGGCATCTCGAACTCCTGGCTTAAGAAATCCTCCTACCTCAGTCTGCCAAGCAGCTGAGACTATTAGAGCATGTCCATGTGCCTGGCTTCCCAGTCAATTTAAATCTCCCTACACATGTAGCTTGAAATGGCAAAATTATCATTAACTAACCTTATATAACACCTATATTAGGGGAATCAGGTATCACGTATCTCTTTCTTACAGTCCCCCCCCCCACACACGAGATATATATATATATCTCATTCTATAAAAATTCATACAAAAATCCCAATAAAAACTGATTAAGTATGCCACCCAATGGATGTACTATAGTACTACACTCATAAAATATATAATACAGTGCATACTTTGCATTTGTAATCTCTTGAAGTTACAAAAACTGCTATAGTTACAAAAGAGATAATGAGAAAAAAAGAAGAGATCATAGTAGGGAAAGAATTCAAAAGCAATGATGGGTATCTCAGAAGACCAAGATGTGAATGTAAAAATGTGCTTCAAAAACACATAGTACTTTTGTACATCCCTCCAAACCTACAATGGGAGTTGAGAAGTATAGAGGGGAAGAGGGAATAATTATGTTCTGAAACTAAAGCTAGATTGTATTATTTACTTCCTTGCTACAAAATTCAGTCTTAGAAATTGTTCCTCCAGTATCACTCAGATTTAACCATTACTTATTGAGAACCTACTTATAGTAGGTTCCAAGGCACTGTTTAGATTTTTATTCATACAGATTCTCATCTAAATTTTTTAAAAGAGTTTTATTATTATCATTGTTTTTATTATTATTTTGTTTTTGTGGTTCTGGGTATCAAATCCAGGGCCTTGAACATGCTAGGCACTTGCCACACCATCAGCCCAGGTGTTTTATTATTTTTAAATACTGATGACCATAAATTACTCCAAAATAAGGTACATACTCAATAAATGAAATAAAAAGTGTTTTATTAGTTTTGCTCCTAAAAGTTTATTTTCTCTTGAGACTGTTTGCCCCTGTTCAGGAGGTCTTGAGTTTCCTCCATTATCTATAGGGTTGAGTTTGGAAGACTCACTGATAGGGGACTTGCACACCTGTATACTTGTACATATTTTTATCTAGATGAGAGGCTTAAAAGACCTACCCATGAAGCAATGAATAGGGAAAGAATCAGTAACACTGGTGGAAAAAAATCACAAACCAGAATTCATCACACCCTTTGATATATTCTATTGTCTCTATTCCAATATGTTAAAAAGATACCTGAACTGAAAAGGAACAATAACAAGTAAACATCCATTATATAAAAGTCTTATTACTGATGACTATAGAAGAGTCTACCATCAGAGAGCAACCTGGTGTCTGCCCTATGACTTGGCTCTATGAGAGTGAGAAACACAGTAGAGAGGAGAAAGCAAGGAGTCATAATTAGGAGTACGAGTTCATTCTTGCAGCAATATGGGTACATTTAGTGCTTCAAATATTCCTAATATTTAAGAAAATTAATAGTTATGCTCCTTCCTATTATAAGAACTAATAAAATAACTTGAAGATGAACAAGGCCCAAGACGTAACTTTTACTAATGAACCCCCAAAGAACTTCAGTATCCAAAATCATACAGAAAGGAACAATGTTTATGTGATATTATCCTATTTTTATAGCACTTAATGCTTTTGAAAGATTTATGTCCATATTTTTCACTTGCATGATCCCCAACATAATATGAACACATAATACATAAAAAAGCATCAGCAAATGATCACCTTGAAAGTATGTAGAGTTGATCTGGCAGTTGTAAGGTGGAAAAATTGGGGGTGTATGAAAGACATTTCTATCAACCCAAAATTGTGTTTCTTCTTATTAATTCTATACAAGGATTTATGAAAAACATTGATACAGTAAGACATACCAACTTATAGGAAAACAGACCCTGAGGATTACTATTGACAATATAGTATGTGTATTAGTCACCTGGAAAACTGAAAGACACTGGAATCCAGAGGTTTAAGTTGAAGAGAAGGTGATCTGCTTTCTTCTCCAACAGACGGAAGCAGGGTAGGACTATCAATTCTCTCATATCCGATTGTCTTGTCATTCAGTCCAGCCATATCTTGAACAGAAGGAATCTTTGGTGGATTACTGAATGCCTAGCAAAGAAAGAAATGATTCATAAAAATCCCAAATTAAAACCAAACTTTAAAGATGAGTCAATCCTTCTGATGCTAGGAAAGAACGCTTGGCCAAATAAAAAGAAACTGTTTCCTACACAAAATAAACAGCGCGCAGAAATGTACACTAGAACAATGAACCCAGGCACATTCAGTTATTAACCTTATCAGCTAGACACCAACAGACCTCCCCCAAATTACTTACTGGCTCCTAGAATTATCCTACCCACAACATAAATCAAGGCCCCTAATCACTGTCTATTTCTATCTTGTGACCCAGTTGAAGGCTGGGTTTTCATTCTTCTGATATCTGTGATGAGAGTAGGAGTGGAGGGAAAAAGCATTGCAGCAAGTGTCTGTGCTGGTTTGGGAGAAATGCATGCAGGAGATGACACATGTTCACAGTGCACACACACAGAGACATGCATTTGGGATATTGTGGGAGAGCCAGCTTATGAAAATAGTATGAATGATTAAGGTAAAGGAATATAAAGGGGAGGTAAACTGAATGAGGACAGAGCAGTCCTAGGAAATCTCCTGATCTCTATATCAGACTATTAATTCAAGACATTAGTATACAAAAACCTGATTACTCATATGCCTGTGTTTTGGAAGGATATCAGAAGAAGAATTCATATTAAATTGTCTCTATCCTCACCAGTCTGACCTACCCTGATCGAGTGGGTGAAAGGTGAATCTAACATGCGACTAGCAGGTCTCTCTGGGAAATAGGGTCAAGAGGGAAATCATGCAGAATGGCAAGGTTGGGTGGGGAAGATATATGGGTGCTATGGTGGCTGTCAGGAGAGGAGTGTCCCTGAAAGGACGGCCAACCTTATTGCACCCTTCAGCGTCCGGAGCTGGGCAACCATGTCCGAGAGACAGTGCTCCTGAAAATTCAAAACAGCAGAGTCTTTATAAAGCCAGCCAGCCTGAAAGCAGGGATTGGGGAGAGGCACAAAGAACCACCCTTTCTTCCCAAGAGGAAGGAGGAAGGAATCATCCCTGAATCCTGGAAGAAAGGAGACAGGAAAACCAGACACTCAACAGGAGCAGCCTGTAAGAAGATGGGACACAACCCTGAATATTCTGTGATGCCAAAAGTGACAGTATTGTCCACAATCAGTACTGAACCCAAATCTGGGAAATAAATTATTTGACTCTTCTATTTTAGGTGGTCTGAGCATCAGTAACAGCAGATCAGCACAAAACCCAAAGTTCCAATAAAAAGAAAAGACCACAAGAAGTAATGGTTATTTTTATGTAGATTTCAAGATTGCTGCTTTCTTCAACCTATATCTTCTGTTGGGGAAAATTGTGTGTGAGAAAAGGAATAGAGTGGACTATCTCTCACCTGGAGGTTCTCATTTTCCATAGATATCTTCTTCTTCTCAACAGATTGATCTCTAGAAGATAAAAGTGCTATTTAGTTCACTCATGAAATGTCTCAAGTATAAATGGATTACCAATTACAGATTTAGGTTATAATGTTCATTTGAAGTTAGAAATAGTGTGTCATTGAGTAACTAAAGGTGCCTTCCTGAACTATACTACTGAAGGAAGTTTTCAAATGCTATCTCTCTCTGAGAGATGGGCTGGGGGAGAGGGGGAGAGGGAGGGAGGGAAGGAGAGAGAGAGAGAGAGAGAGAGAGAGAGAGAGAGAGAGAGAGAGAAATGGGGTGGGGAGAGACAGACAGACTCTAAAGATAATCAAAGTTGAGACATTCAGGAGATGGTAAGAAGGAATAAAGAACTGGCAGAACAGAGAGCTAAGGAGGAAAACCTTAAGAACACCAAAAATTATCCTTCTTCTCAAAACTCTGGGTTAATACAAAGGGCCAGGATCCTCTACTTTATGATGCAGAACACCACCTCATGCATACTCAACTGTTTCTTAGTTTTGCTCAAATATAAGTCTTCATCAATGAGTTCTTGTTCCTCTGGAACAGAGCATCTCCTGCAAAACAGAGAGTAAATCATCTTTTGGAAGCAAAATGTATTCTTCACTTTTACCATATACTTTCCTTAGCACTATTACTGGGCACTTTGACAATCCTCTAATATTATAGAGTTCAGATCTCACAGTAAAAACAAACAAAAAAATTTCACTAATACGTAAAGCATGAGGAAGAATATTTTATGAGTAAAAACTGAAAGAGTGCTGAAAATTTATTCAATGGTCAAAAACTATCCTAAAAACAAATAAAACCTAATAATTAGAAACTGTTATATCCATTTTATAAGAGAGTGAAGTACCCTTTCCAGGACTAAGCCTGTCTCCTGGACTAAGTGTCAACAGATAAAAAATAAAGTATTAAAAACGAAGCTTCTAAGAACTCAGTCCCGAATTCTAATCACATGATCTCATTATTCACCATGAAAAGGTACTTAGGTGCATCTGAAGACTATTAGATTTCATTTAATTAATTTTCTCCATTTTAGACATTTTCCCCTAAAAAGCAGACTCTGTTGTAGAATATTTTTTTCTATTAGCATTTATCCTGCAAAAAAGAATCTTAAGAAAGTCACAACTGGATTGAAGCAAACTGACTTATTACAGACATAGCGACTACTGCATCAAATAAAAAGTCGTTAAATTAAAGTTAACACAAATGGATATGCCAGGCAATATTTAGAGGTTGAATGCTGAAAGGAACACACGGTATATTAGGAAGACAAACATTTAAACAAATAGCACTGAATGTATAATAGGTACTGTTTACATTGATTCTCGATAAGAAACATAAAAATCAATTTAATCTGGAATGTAAAGACTTTATTCTTTAAGAATTTAAAATTAAGGGAAGGGGCATAGGGTCAGAAATGATGGTGGAATGTGATGAACATTATTATCCAAAGTACATGTATGAAGACACAAATTGGTGTGAATGTACTTTGTATACAACCAGAGATATGAAAAACTGTGCTCTATATGTTTAATAAGAATTGTAATGCATTCTGCTGTCATATATAAGTTAAAAAAATAAAAGTCAATACATGTAAAGTGAACAAAAAAGAATTTAAAATCTCTTGAGGAGCAAAAGCATATACATATAAAAAATACCCCACAACACAAAACAGTATTTGAACAAATGTCATGAATCAAAACATGCAGGAAGTCACTGTAAACTACTGTCAATGGGAAAAGTGTCCCACAAGATATGGATAAGATTTGGATAGGCAGATGGAATGCAGAAGATCACTGCAAGCAACAGAAAGATGATCATGGAGGAAAAAGTAAGCATGGCACATGTAGGGAATAGTGAAGTCACAAATCTGGCCAAAGTACAAGGTTTGTGTTAAGATATAATGAAAAATAAGACTGGGTAAGTAAGGTGGGGCAAGTCAGCATAGGGATTTGAATGTTAGCTGAAGAGTGTATAATTGAGATGAAGTATTTAGAATATAAAGACACATCAAGAGTTGTCTCAGGTACAATACTGAGACCTGGAACCTTACCTGTATTTTGGATGGGAATTATAGTAACAAAACCATCTCGCAGGTAATGTAGATGGATCCACCTTGCCAGGAAGTTTCCTCCATTTAAGACATTCATCACACTGTACCCATGTCTGGTCAGGAATCTTCCTGAATGAGGGAAAATAGAAGTGTGACTGTGTATATCCTAGCTCTGTGCTCTGCCTTACATTATAAAGGCACAAAAAGTGAAAATAATTAATTTTATATATGAGTTATGTTGGAAATGTTATAGATGTATGAAATGTGTTTATTTTGAATTTCATAGATAACACTAACATTATTTATGGAGGTCAATAGTATTTATCTTGGCAAATTTTATTCTAAGCTAATAACAGGATAATTTTAACTCAAAAAGTTTATTAGGAAAAGGCATCGTGTATGTGTGTATGTGTGTGTGTGTGTGTGTGTGTGTGTGTGTGTGTGTGTATCTGTGTTACATTATTACCAAGAAATAAAACCATTGAATCATTTTATTTACTTCTGTCCAACTACATAACAGATTTAAAATACACTTAAGGGAATCACTGAAGCACAGTCATCAAACCATCTTGCTCATTTCCCTGCAGATATTCCCCATCCCTTTTTTGTTTTTTTCAAAAAACCCTTTGTTTATAATGCTTCAATCCAAAATTTTTAGGTTGATATTCCCAAAATTATTCTTTAAAAGTGCTATGAATTTTGCTTAAATATCCTGACCAGAAATGGTGGCTTTAGACCAACAACTGAATTAAATTAAGATGAAGTGTTCCAGAGTTCAACTCTTAAAATACACACCCATTCCCATCCACTATTAGAAATAGAATCCAGTAACCAATGCCCCAAAGACAATCCGTTTCTCTGTGAAAAGAGACGGCCCATATATGATAGTACTCAGTACCTAGGGTGTGAAGAGTGGAATGAAGCTAAAAGAGGGAAGACTAGAGAAAAGACAGAAAGAGGGGAGAGGGGCACCTTGGGCCAATTTAACCACTAGGGTGAGTTTTGTGTATGTTATATTTACACTGCTATAATACTAAATATTTTATTAGAGTGGTGTGTTTCTTTTAAGCCTAGGTTTAGTATTTTTCTTTATTGTTTCAAACATGCTTCTTTTTTAGTTATATAAGTAATATAATAAACTCCTTAGGAAGAACTAGAAGATACAGAAAGATATAAAGAAGAAAATAAAAAGCACTCATAATTCTACCATTCAAATACAATGTCTCTTCTTTTTTAAAACTCTGTTTTAACACAGTGTATACACATTTTTGGACCTAGAGCTTCCTATCTCTTAGCTGCAGGATGTTCCAGACTTATAACCTTTAAGCTCTAAGCTCAGGCCTGACCTCTGGTGTCTATATATTTCTACACAGACACTGATTCATTTAAAACCAGACCTTGCAAAAGGTTTCAGCAGTAGTGTTGAGGTGAGGGAGGAAAGAAAAAGGTCATTAGCCTATACACATATATACAGAATGGTCTGTTGTAGAAAGATGACAGTATAATTCTTTCAGGCACACTTAGAGGCAGTAACTCTCTGTTTTGGGTTATATGCAATCACGGTGGATCTTTCAATCCAGGCAGGTAGGAGAGGCTTTTAGCTCATGCTTGCATTAAACAGGAAGTTAAGGAAGTTGTAGCATATTCCCTCACTTTGTAGTGGCTAAAAACTTAGGTTGAGAGATTTAGTTGCCTATATTTGAATCCTGGCTCTAACATTTTCTACTTGTCTTACCTTGGTCACTCTAACCTGGGTGTGGGGGGAGCTTCCACTGCACCCAGGGTAGAGGGGGACTCTCCGCTCTGGGGGGGAAGGTCCCTCTAACCTGGGTGTCGGGGGGAGCTCCCACCACACCCTGGGTAGAGGGGGACTCCCCATTCTTGGAGGAGAAGGTCCCTCTAACCTGTAGGCTTTCAGTCTATCAGTCTCTACATCTATAAATAATGTCTGTCTATTTCAGAGTTACAGTGATTAAATTACTGCATGTAAAAACTTAGAAATGCTGGTAACAGTGGCCCAACCTATAATTCTAGTGACTTGGGAGGTTGAGACAGGAGCAGGAGGATCATAAGTTTGAAGCCAGCCTTACAACTTAGAGAGACCCTGTCACAAAATAAAAAATAAAAATGTCTGGAGGTGTAGCTCAGTTGTAGATTGCCCCTGGGTTCAAAAGTCAGTTTAAAAAACATTAGGGTCTGAGGTTGTGGCTCAGTGATAGAGAGCTTGCCTACCATGTATGAGGTATTAGGTTCGATTCTCAGCACCATATAAAAATAAATAAAAGTATTTTGACCATCTACAACTAAAAAAACATACAAAAAATTAGAACTATGTGAGGCTTATATGTAATCAATAAACAATTAGCATTATTACAATTCTGCTTCTAGCACATACACTCTCTAGCAGTATATGAATATCTGTGTTTCACTGCATTAATCATTGCTAATTTGAAAGGTAAAAAGGCATCTCATCTTAACATGCATTTCTTCGAAAAAATATAGAAGACGGACATGAACTGATATCTTTAGAATAAGGTGGAAACATACATATAGCCATAGTTGCATATGAAACACATTTTTAAACATACATTTGTGTGGTAGCTTCCATTTAAAAAAAGGGAACACCCCCAAATGAAGTTTTAACATGTTAATCTTTGTCTTAATGGTAGTATAACTGTGTTATTATACAGTCTATCTTCTATATTATGCTCCTTTCCTGACTTTCAGAAGCATTTCAACCTCTTCATTGTGTGATTTCCTGACTTAGATCCAATAAACTCTCTCTTATTTCTATTCTACTTTTTCTCTAATGCTGGGTTTCCAGTATTTCAATACTAGTTTAGTGTCAATAATATTGACTAGGAATAAAGAGAAAGCGAAGTGTGCTAAAATGAATGAATACCTACTCTATGCCAGGTACTGTGCTAAAAACGTTATGCCACTTAATTCAATACATTCAGAGAAATGAAATAACCATCCCAAGCCCACCCAAATTAAGAAGCAAATCCAGACATTTAGCCCAAAAATGTCTAATTAAATGGCCATCATTTTCCACTATATTACACTGCCTCTATGAAACAAGAAATACTAAACTCCTGATGTATTTATGATTGAAACCACTTAAATGTTAAACCAGACTGAAGAAGTTTAAAAAATGATACAATTAGTAACTGTGCTTTCTCAATTTGTGAATTGAACTTCCTGATGTGAAAAACATTTTACTCTTGTTCCTTCAATTTGATCTATGAACATTACCCATAATCCTTCCCATATTCTTTATTTTATTACTCATGTTACTGGCCTGGCTGTAGCGGAGATCTCAAAATTCTCTTGAGATATCTTTTCCTTCCAATAAGCATTAAGCTTCTGGGCAAGGGCATTTATTGTCAATCTGAAAGAAAATGCAAAAAGTATGTAAAGGTTTAGCACTTGTTAAACAATCCATAATGACTAATCATGTTCAATAGTCACATTGTGTAAAATAGACACAAGACCTAAAAAGTAGAGATCTATAAAATTTTCAGGGTTTGTAGAATCATGGAGAAGGCAAGTTGACCCTGGAGACTATGACAGAGGACCAAACTGCAAAGCTAGGACAGAGCCAAATACTGGTAATTTGATAGGAAGTTATTTAATTGTCAGATAATGACAAGTAATTGAGAATTAAGTTGAAAGTCAGAGGATCAAACACTATACCCTATCTCTTATGAATTAATCAAATATTAACTTAAAAATGTCTATATAGTTCCTATGCATCAAAATGCTGATCATATTAGTAAAGCCCTAATAAAGCCCTTTGGCATTCTACTATATAGCTGTTATTGGAGGCTGTGTGTGAGTTCTGGTTTGTGCTCTTTTTTCTTTTCTCTCTCTTCCCATGTAAACAAGGGTAGATTTAGGGTCACCAAAAATGTGATTTTTAGAAGTCAGAGACATGAACATTTGCTCTATATGTGTACTATGAATTGAAATGCATTCTGCTGTCTTATATAACAAATTAGAATAAATCAATACATTTAAAATAAAAAAGTCAGAGCATGCATTTTAATTGTAAAAACTTATAACTTCCTGGGCTTGGGTTGTGGCTCAGTAGTAAAGTGCTTGTCTCACATGTGTAAGATACTGGGTTTGATCCTCAGCACCACATAAAAATAAATAAAATAAAGGTATTGTGTCCATCTACAACTAAAAATATATTTAAAAACTTGTAACTTCCTAATTAATAACTCCTACTTAATTATACAGCCCAAGAAGACAACTCAATGCAGACCTATGCAGAACACTACAGTCCAAGAATACAACCAAATACAGACCTATACACACCTAGAACACCACAAATTTAGAATTTTTAAGAATGTCTGGGCCCTGGCTGGGGTTGTAGCTCAGTAGTAGAGCACTTGCCTAGCACATGTGAGGCACTGGGTTCCATCCTTAGCACCACATGAAAATAAAATAAAGGTATTGTGTCCATATACAATAAAAAATATACTTTTAAAAAATGTCTGGGCCCTGTGGACCACTCCACAAGGTTTCTGCAGACTTTTTCTCTTCTTAAGAAAAAATCAATCTTACATCCAATTACTCATATTAAATTAGATTCTCACTATGGAGAAGAATAAAATAATCATGAGACCCCCTATAACTCTTATTCCCCTCTAACCTACTAGTGTTCCTACCTCCATATTTATATCTTTCCCTCAACACAGGACATAAAACTATACATTGTGTTCCCCTAAAAATCTACTAAAATCTGCTTTTAAAAGACGTATAGCAGCATGTGATGGTGTGTGCATATAATTCCAATGACTTAGAAGGCTGAGGCAGGAGGATCACAAGTTTGAGGCAACCCTGGGAAACTTACTGAGACCTGTCTTAATATCAGAAATAAAAAGGGCTGGGAATGAAGCTCAGTGGTAGTGTGCTTCTGAAAAGAAATATATCAGATGGGCTTCTGGGAAGATGGAAGAGTAGTATGCATGGAATCTATCTCATCTAGATAATAACCGCATTAGCTGAATTTGTCTGATGTAAGTATTTTTGAACTCAGGAATCTGTTGAAGGCTTGTAACTTCTAGAAGAGAGCTTGGATGGTAAATTATAGTTAATTTTGGTTAATTTCATTTTTTAGGACAGTAGCAGCTACACATCCCCCACCTTCAACTCCATGGCTGACAATCCTGTATGTATTCTAAGAGCAATTTGTAGAACACAGCACAGGCAAAAAGGATGATTTCCTCCAAATACTGGGGATCTCTGCTTCCATCCCTGATAGCTCTTTCTGAACACAGAAGTACAGATAAAAAAGACAGGTAGCCATTTCTGTTGTACCTTTTACTGGTATGAACCCTTTACCCTCTAGCTAAAGAGGGGACTCCCTATATATTTCTCTTTTTCTGTTTTGGGAGCCAGACATTAAAAGGTAAGATATTCAAAAGCAAATACATATATGAGGAAAATAAGAAAGTCACTGTGAATTCCCAGGAAAAGGCAGGATTAGAAAACAAGTAAGAAGACCTTAAGTTTATATTTCAGGCTGATCCTTAGAACAGAGACAACATACTACAATAAAAACAAAAACTATAGCAAATCCTGGGAAAGGGAGAGAATGTGATTTCCAGAGTTACTAGGTAATTAGATTCAAATGTCCAGTTTTCAATAATAACAACAAAAATCACAAGGCAAACAAAAAAAAAAAAACAGGAAAACATGACCCATTCAGAGGAAAAATAAAACCAACAGAAACCATCCATGAAAAGATATGATGATGAATCTACCAAAAGCTTTAAAACAACTCTCATAAAGATATAAAGATGTCCAAAGAACCAACGGAAGATGAGGAGAAATTCATGAACAAAATGGAAATTGCAATAAAGAGACAGAAAACCTAAAAAGAATCCAAAAAGGAAAGCCTGGCATTGAAAAGTACAAAAATTGCAATCAATAATTCACTAGAGGGATTCAAAGGCAGGTTTGAGCAGACAGAAGAAGAATCTGTAAACTCCAAGATAAGATATTACCCAAGCCCAAGGATCAGAAAGAATAAAAAGTGAATAAAAGTGAGCACAACCTAAGGCACCAGTGGAACACCATTAGTAATCTAACATACACATTGTGGAGTTCAAGAAAGAGAAGAGAGAAAGGGACAGAGAATATTTGAAAAAATAATGGCTGAAACTTCCCAAATTTGAAGAAAGACATGACTATATGCATCTAAGAAACTCAACAAATTCCAAATAGAATGAACTCAGAGTGGCTCACACTAAGGCACAACTATAATCAAGCCACTGAAAGACAAAAACAAAGAGAACCTTGAAAGTAGCAAGAGAGTAGTAACTTGTCATAGTCAAGAGATACTTGGAATATTTAACTCTACATTTTTTTCTACAGGATTTAAGAGAATACATTTAAAAGAAAAAATTTAAAAGATACATTTAAAAGAAAAGAGTCTAAAAGATAGTATTATCATGACTTTGGTTTGTAAGTCCAAATTTTGTAATTAAATTGCATTATGTAATTTAAGAAACTAATACATTAAATCTATTTGCTTATGGTTTTGGACACATGATGAACAAAGATGTAATTTAGTGAGATCAATAACTGAAAGTGGTAGTAGCAGAGTTAAAGGAGAACTTTTATACATAATTGAAGTTAAATTGGCATAAATTCAAATTAATGTCATAACTTAAGGATGTTAAATGTAATCCCCATGATAACCACAAGGTAAACAGCTATGGAGCATACAGAAAAGTATCAGCTAAACAAAAAAGAAGACAGTAGGCTTGGGTTGTGGCTCAGTGGTAGAGCACTTGTCTTGCATGTGTAAGGCAATGGGTTCAATCCTCAGCACCACATAAAGATAAATCAATAAAATAAAGATAATGTGTCCATCTACAACTTAAAATTTTTTTAATAAGACAGTAATAGAGAAAATGAGGAACAAAAGCATATAAGGCATATTAAAAATAAATAGCAAAATGATAGAATTAACTCTCTTCTTACCAGTGATTACTTTGAAAGTAAGTAGATTAAATTCAGATTCATAAAGATATGATAGAACAAAAAGAATACAACAGATTTGGGTATCTAGAAATGGGGCAATACTGTTGATAAATACCTAAAAATGTAGGACTAAGTTTCAGAATTGAGAATTGGCAGAGGTTAGAAGAATTTTAAGGAGCATGACAGAAAAAAATAAATTTCCTTGAACAGATTATTAATAGAAATATAGATTTTAAACACTTCACTGGTGAGGGCTCAGAGGAAGTGGAGAAGCATGGTAGAGAAAATATAAAGTGCCTTAGAGAATACTTAAATCATTTTAAACAGACTGTTAATAGACATGTGGATGTTAAAGGCATTACTAAAGAACACTCAGAAGGAAATGAGGAGCACCTTACTGGAAAACTTGAGGGTGGTGCTTGTTAAATAGTGGTAGAAAACTTAGCAGAACAGTGTCCCCCAGTTATGTGGAAAGCACAACTTGTAAATGATGGAACTGGACATTTAGTTGAGGAGATCTCCATGAAAAGTGCTGAAAGTATAGCTTGTGGCCTTTGGTTGCTCATGTAAAATGCAAGGGCAAAGAGAAAAATTGAGGGAAGAACTGTTAAGTTAAAAGGATCCATAATTTGATGATTTGGAAAACTCTCAGTCTATCCAAATTGCAGAAGACATTGAAACTTAGAGATTCCCCATCAGGAAAGTGTGCTTAGAGGAAAAAAAAAAAACCTAAAGGTAGGGCTGGATAACTTTTTGGTAATATTGCAATAAGATCAAAAGGTCACAGTCTTCAGTCAGTCACACAAAAGGCTCTTTAAAATGATTAGGCACATGACTCAGTTCTCTCCAGCAATCTCAGCTGAAGACAGAAAAGAAATAAGATTATCTAGGAAAGACCTGTCAAGGGTCTCTTGTTGAATAGAGTGAATATCCATGATATTCATGGGAGATTCACAAGGTTCTTTTTTTCCACAAGGTTCTTGAGAATGCCACAAGCACAAAAATTTTTAGCTTGGACTGAAAGGGATAGAGAGAGTGTAAAATGAATGTAGTCTGTTGTACCTTAAAACTTCAAATTTCTACCACCAGGAAACTAGCTGATGAAACTATTCAGCTGCAAACACATGCTACCCTTCATCAACAAGGAAAGATGATTTCAAGGGTGGAACCATAAAACCAGAGGCACCAAACTCAAAGACTAGAGGGTAGAGATGCAAGCCCTAGAAAACTATTCCCAGTCTTTTAAATTTAATAAAAATTGTTTAGCTGGATTTCAGATATTACCTGGTATTTGTGACTCTTTTTTTTCCCTTCCATTTTCTCTCCCACATAGCCCAGATTATTTAAAACTAGTGTCCTGTGACTGCTCTACTATGGTATTTTAGGTGTAAAATGAAAGGTGAGGAGAGGGAGAGGGAGAGGAGAAAGGAATAAAGGAAGAAGGGAAGAAGAGAGGAAGAGACAAAGACATGCAATGATGGAGAGGAATTTTGTCCCAAGATGCATCATACTCAGAGTTATCATCCATATGTGATTTAAACCATGAGATTTGAGACTCGAGCTGATTTTTTTGTGGGAGGTACTAGGACTTGAACCCAGGGGTGCTTAACCACTGATCCATATCCCAGCCCTTTCTATTTTTTTATTTTGGGACAGGGTCTCACTAAGTTGCTTGGGTCTTGCCAAGTTGCTGAGGCTGGCTTTGAAAATGTGACCTTCCTGCCTCATCCTTCCAAGCCTCTGAGATAACAGACATGTACCATGTGCCTGGCTGAACTGATAATATTTAACTGAGATTTTACTTTTGGGAATTCCAGGAGGGAGTTGTAGCATGAGTGAAATGTGTTGGTATGAACACATTTTGCATGTGAGAAATAAGTGAATTTCAGAAGATCAAGGGACAGACTCCTGTAAATAAAATAATGATTCTCCAAAGATGCCTATGTCCTAATTCCCACAACCTATGAACACACTAGATTACATAGCAAGAGGGAATTAAAATTGCAGATGAAATTAAGGTCATTCATCAACTGACCTCAAGACAGGATTATTAGTCTTTAAAAACATTAGAATGAGGGAGATGAGTCAGAATCAGAGGAGTAGATGTGATGACAGAAACAAGGCCACTGGAATGATGCAACGTGTGGAGGACTCTACCCATCACTGATGACTCTGAAGTTGGAGTAAGACGGCCTTGGGCCAAGGAATGCTGGCAGTCTCTAGAAGTTGGAAAAGGCAAGGAAATGGATTTTCCCCTAGAGCCTCAAGAAAGGAATGCAGTCTGATTTTAAATCCTTGATTTTAATCTAACAAGATCTTGGTCAGATTTTTAACTTATAGAATTCTAAGATAGTTAAATTAGTATTGTTTTAAGCCACCAAGTTTCTGGTAGCTTCTTACAACAATTAAAGACACTTTCTATTATTTATAGACAGACATCAAGTACTGCTATTTCCCTTAAAATTAAAATATTTCATGGCTCTCCTATGAGTTCATTATGTGTAATTTGGTACACATAGTTCAGGAATGGTGGTTCTAGTACAGGGGTCAGCAAACTATAGCCCAGAAGGCAAACCCCACCCACTGCCTATTTTTGTGAACAAACTTGTACTGAACACAGCCAGGCTTGTTTCTTTGCTTAATGTCTATATATGCTTTCATACTATGGTAGAATTAAGTAGTTGTAAAAGAAGACAATATGGCCATCAAAGCCCCAAATAATTACTTTCTGGACCTTCTCAGAATATATTTGCCAATCCCTGTCTAGAACCTGACCCTACTCTATCCATCTAACTTGATTTCCCTTCACTCCACTTACAATCTTATATCCGCACTCTCTACACTTACCATTCTGAATTCCTGTCACTACATTAGTTCATAATACAACTTCCTCTTGGAATTCTATTCATTTTCCCCCTAAATCTTGTATCCTTTAAGGCATACCTCAAGTCATATCTCTTCCTAGAACTTTCCCTATTTACTTTATCAGGCATTTTTCCTATACCGTACCAATTAGATTTTGATTAATCAAATAGCCATGTTAGCTCTATCCAATTTATTTCATACATGTGGCAATCTATTATTACAAATAGACTGTAAGGTTCTTTAAAAAAGCAACTATGTCTTGAATTTCTCTGGAAAATTCCACAAAACCTACCCACTATGTTTATGTACCAGTGGAGTGCTCAGTGCATTGATTGCATCTTTTAAAGTGAAGTTCACTCTAAAAATGTTTTAAGTTTGATCCCTGATAATTGCAGATGAAATCTGATATCCACAACTGTTAAGTGATATTACAGGTGATTTATTTGTAGACATTCCAGCAATATGATTGCCAATATCTCTTTTATCATTTACAGTTTTGATATCTCTAATACACATAGGACAAGTTTATGCTAGCATATAACCTTCTCTAATCCCTTTCTCAAATTCCTGAATTTTTACCTAAATGCTACTCTACAGTGCATGCTCAGCCATGTGCAATACCATGGATTCAACTCTCAGGCTCAAAAAGGATGGGGCAATAATGCCAGAATTGGATAAAATTATGCAAATTTACTATCACCAGAAGCCTGTATGCACGATAATGTACTAGTTTTCTGCTTTTAATAAAATATAGAGTACATATTAAGCTACTTAAGCCAGAAATCCTATATGTTTAACTGAATTAATCTGCTGCTTACAGAATATCTCTATTTAGATCTTCTGTAATCATCTCAAACTCATCCTACCAAAATTAGACATCAAAAATGAAAAGTCTAATGTGTCCAAAATCCAAAACATAGATTTTGGTGGGAAGATGGCAAAGGTGACATAGAAAGGTATTAAGTAATTTTTAATATCTAATATTTGCATTCCACATATTTTAATTAGTTAGATAATCATTGGAAGTCATTTATTCCTTTGGCTCAAGAGAACCCAAATGACTTAGCTCTGAGACTTTTGTTAAACCAATGTCATTTATAGATTTTCACTCTTAAGAGTCAAGTGCTGGTCAAAGATCTCCATTATGGGTCAGACTTATATTTAAATTATCAATTTATTTTGATTGAGGGAACATAGTTGCCATCACCACTGAGTAGCTTGAGTGACCCAAATCCAACTATGCTGAAATTAACTTGGGACTGCCATTCAAACAGCTTTCTCTTTGTGAAACACTAAACCTGAAGTTTTTATGGTTCCAGGTAAATTAAGGTAAATTTTTAATTAACTATAATGTTTTGAACACAATAAGAGATATGGGGAATTATTTTTCTTTCACTCTAAGAAAAATTGCTATAAGAACTTCAGGAGAAATGATATCAAATGTCCTCTTGCTTTGTCTTTCTTCACACTTGCAGAACACTCATTTCCTTTCTGTGCCCTTACATATACTTCCCTCTGCTTAGAATGTCTACCTATGTCTATCTAGAAAACTTCAAGTTTTCCTTCAAGTTTAATCTAAAATATAATCTGCTTTACAAAGCCATCCTTGATTCCTTCAGGCATATTTAAAGGTTCTTCTCATTTTTATATGTACCTCCATTAAAACAATTATTTTATATGTATTTAAGTTTCTTATTTGCATATGTCTTATCACAATTGTTCATAGGCATCGAGGACTCTAATTTTTCATTCTTATGCCCTTTGTATATGACACATAGAAGGCATTTGAAAGAAGGAATAGAAGACTTCTCTTTTCCCAAAAGTTAAAAAAAATCTTCTCATCTGGCTTTACCAACTTCTTTCTTCATCTCCTAAAAATGTACCTACTGCTTCAGACTCAGTGTCAAGTTCCTTTCTGTTTCTTATGTGTTTGTCTTTACTAGCAAGTCTAGATGCTTGTATGAAAGCATGCATCTTTCTTGTCATTCAACATTTTCTTCTAAGACTATTTACTGGCTTCAAGAAAATATTTTGGAACAAATTTCAAATTCCACCCCTTCCAAAGTATTCAACAACTTTATATGGACTCATATTTTCAAAGATCAATAACAAGGCTTTTCATTTCATAGAAATATTTTACTAAATAACTCCTATGTTCTTTTCATAGTTTTTTAAAGGTAAGAATATCTCTGAACTCCACATATCAAGTATACCAGTAAGCTTTGTTTTAAAATAAAATCATTTTATCTTTAATCACAGAAAACAGATTTGAAGTAATTTTAAGTTAACTCATCTGGCTGGTTTTTACAGACTGCAGAGAATACAATTGTATCTGAACAAATTATCAGAAGCACCTCAGGTTGGGGCGACTCACCGGTATTCCTTGGTGTACTCAAAGTCTTGTTTGTTATAGGCAGGTTTTAGGAAATTGCACTCAATGACTCCAATTACTCCCACACCTTCTCCATGAGTTGGCTTAAAAGAAAAATATTAATTTCAATACTTACATTACTGTTGACTTCCTAAGAGCATTTCCTTTTGATTCTAGAAAGATTATATAATGTTCATGGGCAAGGAAAGACCATTAACCTATAGAGAAACACTTAGAATGTACTTCAATATACTGCAAGTATATTGAAACTTGCAATATATAGGGAACTGTAATCTGAAAAATTTTAGAACAGAGATTTTCAATGATTCATAGATCCATAGGATTTTTCAAGGAATAATAACTCTTCTTTACTTACAAACCTACAATTTTATCAGTTTCACATTCCAGCATTGCCATAAGATTTCATTTGAATAAAAAAGTACACTGCTGGGACTGGGGTTGTGGCTCAGTGGTGGAGCACCTGCCTAGCATGTGTGGGGCACTGAGTTTGATTCTCAGCACTGCATATAAATAAATTACAAAATAAAGGCTCATCAACATCTAAAAAATATTTTTTATAAAGTACACTGCTAAAAAAGCAAGATTATATACTACTATTTGAGGGAACTGAAAAGAAACTTCATCACTACCCCCAAATTTTAGGGATTTATGTGATAGTTACACCTTATCTATTCAAGTAAGTATTTTCCCCACATATATAGACTACCAAATAACTACCAAAGAAAGTCAGACTGGCTGTGTTTATTAATTATAAGTTGATGTAAAATGTTTTGTGAATTAAAATAGTTCTTTGTTATTTTTAGTGGAAGAAACTAGGTCAAAGTGTAATTAGACCAGCAAATAAACATAAGTTGTCTAAAAATGACATAACAAGAACAAATATGATTGGCTGAAAATAGCTATCCTGGGCCCTATGTAATTGTGTACTGCATAATATAAAGCAGTCTATAATTCACTGTGCTTTAACCATCTAATTTATAAATTAACAAATTAAGAGGATACTCATGGGGATTACTACTTTAAATTATCCTTAAAACATTATGGCAAACCAACATAAGAATGCTCACTGATAACACAGGATTCCAGTATGGGAATAGAACCATTAATCAATCGATGCCCTTTGCAAATTTTAAACTCTCTCCCTACTCTTTTCAGTCTTCTATGCCAAAGAAACATTAACCACTCAACTTTACCTGGCATCCCACCTTCTCAAAGAACTTTATGAGCCGGTTGTTATGATACATCATTACTCCAAATTGGTTAGTTTTCTTGCAGGAGAATCCAAAAGTGATTCTCACCTGCTTATTCTGAGAAGAAAATTATTAAGGAGACAAACACCAGGGGATTTGGCAAACAAAATTTTGCACCATATTATAGATTACACCGTTGGATGTAGATTGATACATTTTTAGAGGGCATTTAAAAATCTATGGCAATAATTTAACTATATTTTTAAGCTATGACCAAGGAATTGTCTTCTTAGAAGTTTATCCAAAAGAATTCGTTGAGGAAGCCCACAAAAGTTGATGAGTTAAGAGATTTTTTTTCAATTAATCACAACAGCAGAAAAACAGATAATTTAAATATCCAACAATAAAGTAATATTAGATAAATATGGTCTATTATACAGCTCTTAAAATTGTGTTCCTGAATAATATTTTGGAATATTAGGAAATATTCAGAATAATAACAAGCATTGTTATATAACACATATATGTATAATAGTAATATGTGATGTAATAATACATCACATATAACAAAATATAATATATATACATGCATAGAAAAGACTAAGAAAAATACCAAAATTCTACCAGTGATTAAATAATTCATGAATAATAAAAAAGAATTCTTAACTCTTCCTAGTTGCTCATTTTGCTGCTAAGGTTCACAGGTTCTGATAAGAGTTATAAATGGTACAATACAAATACATTCAATTACAGACAATATTTGTAAGTCCAGTTAACCCATATAAAATACAATGGAAGCAAAACCAATAAGAACAAAACAACTTTGAAAGGTAAAAGACAATGAATAGTCTTGTAGTAATATTTCATAGGAAGAGGTTAGCAAATTTGAGTAGATCAAATTATGAGAATCGTTATATGTAAAACATATGTAATGATGAATTTTTTTATATCAGGGATTGAACTCAGGGGCACTCAACCACTGAGCCACATCCCCAGCCCTATTTTGTATTTTATTTAGAGACAGGGTCTCACTAGTTGTTTAGCGCCTCCCTATTGCTGAGGCTGGCTTTGAACTCATGATTCTCCTATCTCAGCCTCCAAAGGCACTGGGAAGTAAATTTTTAAAAATTTCTACTTGATTTAAAAACCAAGTTAAGCTAGTTACAGTTGTGCATGCCTGTAATCACAGCTCCTCTGGATACTGAGGTGGGAAGACTGAGGCTAACCTCAGTAACTTAGCAAGACCTTGTCTCAAAATAAAAACTAAAAAGGGCTGATGTAACTCAGTAGTAAAGTACTTCTGAGTTCAATCCCCAGGACCACAAAATAAATAACATACATATATACATAAAATAAAATAAATAAAACAAAAAGCAGTCCAATGTAAGAGAATGACAATGATAAAGAGGAGATAGAGAAACTGATATTTTCATTAAAACAAATACTGAGAATTCTTAATATTCAAATGGATTGAATGAAAATTTATTTTTTAAAATGATCTTTTGCCCCCTCTAAATGACAAACTACATGCATAAAAACCATATAAAAATGTCTCTGTCAGGTATGATACAAACACAAGTGGGTATTCAACAGTAATATTTAACTCAGAACACAATTTTCTGAGCTCAAGTGGAATCTCAAGTAAGGCCTTATTACTATGCAAAAATGAAACAAGATAAAACTCCCCCAAACAAACCAAAACTCCCACATTATAAAACTAACATCTTAAAGATTACCAAATATTTTCTTTCTCTTGTACACTTAAAATTTTTATTGGTGTATTATGATTATACATAATAGTGAGGCTCACTAGGGGCTGGGGTTGTAGCTCAGTAGTAGAGTGCTTGCTTAGCATGTGTGAGGCACTGGGTTCAATCCTCAGCACCACATATAAATAAGTAAATTAAATAAAGGCCCATAATAGTGGGATTCATTATGCCATATTTGTACATGTACATAACATTCTTTGGTCAATCTCATTCCTCAGTACCTTCCCTTTCCCTCTTTTCCTCCCTTCCCCTCATCTGCTTGCTCTACTCTATTGACCTTTTATTATTATTTTAATTAGTGCATTATAATTATATATGTAAGTGGGATTCATTGTGCAGTATATTGGTACATGGGCATAGCACAATTTGGTAAATTTTGCTCCCCAGTACTTCCCTATGCTCTCCTTCCCTCTTGATCCCCTTTCTCTGTTGTATATTTTTAAAATTCTAAATTATGAAATGGGGTTACAATGGGGTAGAAAGCTCCCCAAATTAGTATGCCAAGAAAGAAAAAAGATAAGAGGCCTTTGAAAACTGAGGAGGAAACCAAATAAGCCAGCATTAATGATCTTGTTCCTTAGTAACCTTGGGGAAATTCTATTAGCAGTATCATTTTACTGATGCCTATAGTGAATCCATTTAACCCAAATTCTAATATAAGAAGGTAACTGGTTTAATGGGAAGGGAGGGTGAGAAGAATTTGGGTACATATAAAATGCATGCATAGAAGTTGGCCTGATTATAGAAACCCATGAAAAAAAAGAACCTAGAGGGGCTGGGGTTGTGGCTGGGGCTGGGGTTGTGGCTCAGCGGTAGAGCACTTGTCTAGCACATGCGAGGCGCTGGGTTCGATCCTCAGCACCACATAACAATAAATAAAATAAAGGCACTGTGTCCAACTACAACTAAAAAAATATTTTAAAAAAAAGAACCTCCAGACAGAAATGTGGTATATTCTAATATAGTAATTGGGAAAGCACTTCTTTATATCAGCTCTGTTGAACCTATAGCACTAAGATCCTAGCTCAAATAAGGTGCTATTATAACTAATATGCTCAGAGTTCTGGCTTTGTTCAGTTTCTTTAGGGCTTTAAAAAAAGTTTTCTAGTGGAGAAGGTATGTGTTCCCCAAAAGGATAAAATCAATGTGCTTATGAATAAAAACTACATGGACTTTTATAAAAAGGAAAAACAATTTCTAATTTTTGATCAGGTGAAGAAAGAGAAAGAGTATATCTTTGATAAAGCAAATATGGATCAAGAGTTATGCATGGTTACTAGAAAATAAATTAAAAGATCAATTCTTCCTATTTATGAGTTCTCAGCCTTTCAAAGACTTCCCTTTTTTGCTAAAAAAAGCCATCAATGAAGATTGACCTCATTTCCATAGTTTATTTTAACATTTTTCTCTAGAATCTAAAATCTATTCCAAAGGAATATAGAAGTGAAAATGAGTAACTGCTCCTCTGTTAAAAGCTAAGTATCTTAAAATAGACAAGTATTTCTTATTAAAAAAAGACTTCAGAATCTACTGAACCAGAATCTAAAATCTCAAGATTCTTATTTAAGAGTTTCCCTATGAGTTCTGATAAAACTGGTGTATAGTCTGACATATCAGAAATACTTCCTAAGAGTATAGTGTAACAGGATTTGTGTGTATGACACAATTTTGATCTGGGAAAGACAAGTTTTTGTTTTTCTGTGCCAACCTAGAAAACTTAATCCCAAAATGCAGAGGTTAACTACATGTAGCTGAAAGGATACTGTAAAGGTAGGTTTATATATATCATATCCTACATTTGCCAGACTTTTGGCAATCATCTGGGTGGTCACCTTCTTTTGACGCAGAAAAATTTTCATCCGTGGCTTCATATATAGAATACTACAATATGCCTATGGAACAGTAAAGGGAAAGTTTATATGCAATATTGACAATTCTACTGAAATACCCATTAACTACTTTTAGCCAAGTGAGTCTATTTTAGGCAAATATCTACCTTACTTTCTTTACCTTGTAGCACATCAACCACAACATTAAAATGCTGCTATTTTAGCTAAATTGTTTTAGTGGACATGGTGAAAATAATCCTAGTACAGAGCTAAAAGGTTGTCATCTTTACATAAGTGAACTTTGGTCTTATTCTATAATATTTTCATATTATAGGAAATCTTACCTCTTAATGTTGAAGAAAACCACTCTTACTCACCCGTAAAGAATACTCTGTTTCTGGCAACTCAGAACCACTAATCTCTTTTTCTTCTGCATCAAAATCTGACACCAGGATATCATATTGATCTGTATCAAAGTCCAACTCAGACTTCCCATCTTTGTTTCTGGGTAAAAGAGACAAGTACCAATCTAACAAAAACTGGCTACAAAGGACAAAATTGTACTAGGAACCAAAAGAAACAATGTGAACAACACTCAGGTACCTGGTTCTTACACTGACCACCAATCCAAGGGAACTGCAAACTACTAACTTGAAATCACACAATATTTAATGGTATTTCTAGTCTATAGAAATCTATGTTTCACACTGGTGGTGATACCAAGTTCATAAGTAAAGAAAAGCAATATTGAATGTCTGTGATCTGATAAATCAAATGAGTATCAGCTATCCTCAAAGAGGAATCCTAAAATAGATCCCACTTTTCTGGTGTTGCTGGATAAGTCACCCAATATCACTTTACCCTACTGAATAGATGAATCAAAATCTATTTCCACTAACTTCTGTAATCATATAAGTATTAATGAGATACTAAGATTTCCCCCACATCCAACTCTATATCTTACAAGGAAAATATTATTATACAAACAACAAATATTTACTAGTCCTCTAGAATACTATTTATGGAATTATCACTTAAATATAATAGTACTGATGTTCTTTTCTTAAGAACCTTTCTTATTGCCATAATGTTTTCAGGTCACTTAACTTTGCTCCATTCTAAGACCCTTGATTATATCATAGGGAAAAAAGGTTAAGACCCATTTGTCCCCAGAAAAAAAAAAAAAACTGAAAACAATGATGGGTTATATGGAAAATGTATAGTTCATTCATAATGATAGTTCCCAAAATTTGTTTTGTGGAACAACAGTCCCTGGAAATATTATTTAATAAGAATTAACAAATAAAAGTAAAATTGAAGAACAATTCTCAGCAACATCAGATTCACATCAAGGTCTAGTGCTACTTGCTTTATAATTCAGGTTCCACAAGCTCAGAGCTACTATATGGAAAATTTAGCCCTATTCTTAGAACCAAATCAGGGCCACTGTGACATGCCACCTGTATAAAGTCGATGCCTCTGTAATAGTATAATTCTGAATTTTTTAAGATAATTTTGATCCTCACTATCCCACCCAACTCTAACAAATACATCCTGAGAGTTGCCTGTCCTCCCTGCCTCTATCATCCCTACCCAAGAAAAAGAGGCTTGAAGAAACATTTTTAAAAACTGAGCAACATATTATATTGCTCCCTTAAGTATTTTCTTTTCTTTTTGCCTTTTGGTACCAGGGATTGAACCCAGGAGTGCTCAACCACTGAACCACATCCCCAAACCTTTTATGTTTTATTTTGAGACAGGGTCCTGCTGAAGCTGACTTTTAACTTGCATCCTCCTGCCTCAGCTTCCTAAGCCACTGGTATTACACACCTGCATCACCACACCACAGTGTAAGTATTTTCAATGCACATTAGCATATGAATGCCTCTGAGAAGTCCTGGGCCAAAACAACAAAGTAAGCTTCATTTAATCCAGTTTTCCCCAAATTTATTTGACCATGCAATTCTTTACTTATATAACACTTTACGTAAGTGTTTATATGTTTCTTTACTTATATAACATATAACTTGTGCAAAGAAATAAGTCTGCTTAATATGTGTAAGTCATTGGATATTCCTCAGGAAAATGATCCTGAATAATACATATGATATTATTGAAGTTTTTCCCAGTAGGACAAACGGAAGGCCTGTGTGAGTCCTTATTTTTTCTTTTTAATTATTAAGTACTCTCTGTATATAAACCAGTATTGTTTTTAAATAAGTTTTACCCAGTTAAGAAATGAAACAAAACAGGTGATGTAAGTTGAAAAGAAAGAATGAATATAACTGATACTCTGTTCTATTAAACACACCAGTAATGCATCTGTTTTATATTAATATTTCTAGGTTTTTAATTTTTAGGTTTTAATATTTATTGCATTTTACATACCATGATTAAACAAATAATGTATCATAGAGTATTTCTTTATTGTTTTATTAGTTCTAAAGACATGATCTTAAGCCACACATTATAGTTAAAATTGATCTGCTTAAAATAATTTTGTAATGCTGTGCTATTCTAAAAGCACTAATATAGAGGTTCTTATTTTTAAAAGATCATGTTGTGTTTTGTTACTCTAATTTCTCTTTCTTATGCTTCATTTTAATTGTCAAATATATAAAATAACTTTCTTTATCAATCTGAATAAAAGGTCCATGAATATGAAATTGATATTTATAAAGGATTCTGAGGATGTTAGAATACTATTTGTGGCAACTGTCTCAGGATATGCATGGTTTTACTTTAAATACATAGCATATTAACAACAAGAACCACTACCTCAAGTGAAAGATATAGAAAGGTATGCAATAATATATATATATATATATATATATATATATATATATATATAAATGTATAAATTTATCAACTCTGCTTCTGTAGAAAGACTTATTAAAATGTGCTTCATAATACCTTTGCTTATTAGAATCTGTCACCTTCAAGATACCATACCTGCGGATGTTCCAAATGAGAACACGAGTGCCTTTTTTGCCTGGGATGGCATCAAACTGGGACAGCAGGTCATTTTCACTGTTGAAAATTGAATAGTTCAAGATGGCTTCCAGGCTGGGCAAGGAATCCTCAGTAATAATCATTTTTTGTAAAACCAAATATAGTCAAAGAAAAATTAATATCTTAAGAATATGCTATCAAGGGGCTGGGGTTGTAGCTTAGTGGTATAGTACTTGCCTTGCACATGTGAGGCACTGGGTTTGATCCTCAGCACTACATAAAAAAATAAATAAATAAAATAAAGGTACTGTGTCCATCTATAACTAAAAATATTTTTAAAAAGAATATGCTATCAAGAAGGAAGAGTACCTTTTGGGTTGCATGTTTAGATAAAAAATAAAGACATAAAGCATGATAATTACTGCTACAGAAGGAAGGAAAGAGGAAAGGTTGTGGAGATAAACACCAAATTTAGTTTCATCTGCAGGATATAGCCTCAAAGATGCAGTGCAAACAAAGACAGTATTATATTTATGGAGATGATCAAAGGCTAATTTTTAAACTATTTGGAAGCAGTAAGTTCAAATCTTACTGCTATATTGCTCCCATGAAAACAACCTGGTATCAGAAATAATAGCTTGCCCAGGTATTGGGAAATGCTATCAGATAAGCTGGAAAACAATTTGTTTCTAAAAGTATAAACACAAATGTAGCTAGCCTTAGGGAAAAAAAGCCCTGGGAACTATAGTGGTGGTGGTAGTTGGGAAAAGACATTCTATACAAATCAAACTGCATAATATAAAAATTTCAACATAGCAAAAATATCTTTATGCTTCTGTCAATGGTTCATTTATTTTAAAAATATTTAATAGAAATGGTAGTAAATTTAAGACATTTCAATACTTTAAAAACATGAACACTTTTTGAAATATGAAAAAAATATGGATTTGACCTGAAGGAAAAAGTTTCTGTTAAAATAGTCAAATTAAACTAATTTTTAACCAACATTCTCCATTTGCAGAAAGGATATTGTTTTGCTGGCTGAATGGAACAATTGGTACAATAACTGCCTGGGCCTGGACACATTCCAGATAGGTCTGTGATAGGAGTCCAACAGTAAGAGTACCCCCATTCTTGGTGAAGACAAGAGCGTCCTTTCCTAGCCGCATGGAGCCTGACTTGAAACCATTACCAAAGACCCCGATGGGACACTGGCTCTTCTTTATTACTTTATCTGTAAAGCCAAAGCTGTAATTACACAAGAAAAGAAGAAATTAGAAAGGTAAAAAGCATCCTAAGATAGGTGAGAGGCGGAATGTTTGGCTGACACATGAATAACACATATAAAAAGTCCCTCCTTTTTTTTTTTTTTTTAACTTTTTTTGGTATTTCCAGGTAAAGCTATTAAGTTAAAAACATAGGACACTACTATGGGGTGATGGCACTGATATTCCTGTGTGGATGGTGTGTACTTAAATAGTACTACTGTGTAAGAGTCACACTTTGGAAATGCAAAGAAGGCCCCCTTTCACTGGTTAACAGAGAGAGCTGGAGAAGGCCTTGTTCTACTGCCTTTCTTATCTAGATAAAACAGCCCTGACTTCTAAAAGTTAGGATAATGTACAAAGGATAGTTGCCTAGAAAGGGCAACAAAAAGTCCCAAATAGTGGCACTGATCAAAGGCACTAGACAAGGCATCTCCTAACTTTGTTATGTCATCCTTTAGAAATCTGAAAGTCAGAGATCATATATCTTGACAATTTTGACTCTCCACCCAAAGGATGACCATTCCAATTCTTACTCTCTGCTCCATCTGCTGGGACAGTCCACTGGAATATGGCCAAGAGATAAAAATAGGTAGTTCTGCCTCTGAATATCTGCAAACAGCTGCAGTATAAAGTCTGTCTTGTTCTATTAAGGGCTTTTCAATGAGTCACCTCAGCAAACTCTGTAGCCCTTCATGATCAGTTTGATCTGGGAACCAGAACCTTCACTTCAAGATATAAACCAAAATGATATAAATTCTAGAAAATGATGATCATCTTCTTATATTTTCCCTCACTACAAATAAAACTAATTTTAAGGATTATTTCTCTCCAGATTGACTAATTTTACTATGGTGTACACTAGCATTCATTCAACACATAATAATGGAGCACCTACTATGTGCTGTACATTATGCTAAGCACTGGAGATACAGTTGTTAATAAAACAGGTATGATTCTTGCTCTCATAGCTTGTAGTCTAAGAAAGGATTTCATATATTACAGATTAGACACTACTTAGCAGCTTGGTCTTGGCTTTACTCCTTTGAGCACGGAGGGGTAAGGTGCCTGTTTTCCATTTCCTGAAGGTTGTGGTTTTGTGTTTATTCCCCAAGAAAGTAGACTACATTTCAATTTTCTATCTCAAAGTGTAATGCTAAAGTACCATATGTCCTTCTAGAATAGAGACATTTTAAATCTTTCTATGAATAAATCTAGTGACATAGAAATGTAATCTCCAGGGAACTGGTCCTTTGGGAAAAAAAGAGAGCCGAGTTAATGCTGTTTGTGGGTATTCCAGGAAAACAGATGTATAAGTTGGTAAAATTCAGACATTCTTATTCCTCTTATGGAAGAATTGGTTAGGAAAGATGGGGTCATTATAAGAATTAAATTATATACTAATTATAAATTATAATTTATAACTAGTATATAATTTATATAATATAATTATATAAATTATATACTAATTATAAAGTAGTACTCAAAAGTCAATTTTTTAAAAATTTTAAGCCAACTCTAGAAGTCATTCTAAGAATTGTTATATGCTATTCTATACCCTTACTTCTGGTCTAATATCACCTCTAAACTCAGACTTTTCATAAACAGAAATCTTATCTACCATGTGAAATGAATTTGTATGGTTATTTGGATTTAAAATTACTTTAATACTACAAAGTTTAAATTAGGTGGCCAAAGAAAGGGATAAAAATAGGGGGACTATATTACTACATTAATTTCCTACTATCTTCTGCCACCTATCACCTCTTTTTCCCTTTGTATGTATAAATCCTCATGTTACTTATTTTGGGGAGGCCAGATGACTATATAAGCTTGAAAAGATAAGTAGTAGGGTGGGGCCAGAACCAGAATGGAAAAGGATAAAAGTGAGATGAGAGGAGCTACAAGTTCTAGATTTTATTTTTGCTGTTATGTTTCACTTAATGCTTCCCATGTGCTATTATTTCACCTAATTTTCCATGTTAGTTATTCTATTTGACTGCAAATTTGCAAAATGAATGCCTGATACCAATAAAATACTGATATAAATACTGATAATATTATAGGAATAAATTTTACATAGTTTGGTATAGCTCAGTAATTTTCTACAGAGCAATCTTGGCTTAGGCAGGTGGTTTCTCTTCTCTAAAGTCAGTCCTATCCTCTCATGTAAGAGACAGCACTGTTTACACACCAACGGGGCTTAGATACTAGTTCATTGAATGGAATCCAATAATAAGCAACTTCCTCTTGAGTACCTTAATATGTTGAGAATCTAGACTCTAGAGAGATAAATTTAAATTTGGAATGCTGATCACTGAAACAAACCTTAATAAAATCCATGAACATACAAAGGGATGCACTATTGTTTTCTAGATATATTGGTGATATAATATGTAATATAAATGAATGAAAGAATGATAAGTTTTCTGTTATTGTCTAGCTGGTGTTTTAGAATAGACCTATATGTACTTCTGTGCAGAGGTAGCAAATACCTTGAATCTGTGGCTCTATGGCTGTTTTTAATTCTTGACCTTTGAAAGAGGTTTTCCACTTTGCTAAAAAAGGCAGCTGAATATATAAACTACTTGATTCACACACTATCCCTAGAAGCTAAAGAGAATAAAAAGTTAACCTTTAAGGAATTAATGATAGGATTTTCCTTTTTAATTTGATTTTCATGTTGATTCTGTGTTTATGGAAGAAACTACTGCTGTAGTTACCTACCTATTTTATCAGCCTGGAAATAGGAAGAGTTAGCATAAAGAGCTGGAAAATGTGGATAGGATAACCAATATTATAAGTCAACAGAATTTCTGTAGGCTTAATAATTTTTCAGAATTACTTTCATTATTTTTCCCAATACAAAAGCTACCTCTAAAATTCTATTATTTAAAAAGAAATTGTGGGAAGTGGACTTGTTCGTTATAATTTAGGATCTGATTAAAAATAATCTCTTTTAAATAAATGATATCTTCTGGCTGATTCAAGTTTGTTTTAAGACACAATAGCAAAATGAGTACACATAATACATTGAGAATTCATTAAAATAGTTCTCCAAAATTAATTTTTAAATAAGCGGAACAATTTCCAGAGCAAACTATTGGGGAGTATATTTGGTATGCTATGGAAAATGTTATGGCTAAAGAAGTTTCTACCAACTTTGATCCCTGGGAAGGAAACAGATTTTTTAATGGATGACACTGATCCTCCATATTTCACTTCAAATGTCATTTCTTCAGGGTAGCCTTTTTTGATTCCCTAGGCTAGATTAGATCCTTGTGCTATATAATCTCAAAGAAATTGTACTCTTCTTTTATATAATTTACCACTGGTAGAATAGCCTATTTAGTCAAAAGTTGACTATTTTTAGTCAACTTTCATTTCTCACTAATTTAAGAGCAAGGATCATATCTGTCTAGTTCACCACTTTATTTCCAATACCTTATGCACAGGTACTTAGTAAGAATTTGTTACTCAGCAATAAAAAAGAAAGATCATGGCATTTGCGGGGAAATGGATGGCATTAGAGAAGATTATGCTAAGTGAAGTTAGCCAATCCCAAAAAAACAAATGCCGAATATCTTTTCTGATATAAGGGGGGTGACTCAAAATGGGGTTGGGAGGGAGAGCAAGGGAGGAAGATTACCTCTAGATAGGGAATAGGGGTGGGAGGGAGAAGGGGAATAGCATGGATGGTGAAAGGAGACC